TACAAAATTCAATCTGTAGCAAAGTGCTGCAGGTACATGGTGCTCCAAGAACAGAAACCGGGGAGTTGTCTGAGGAATCATACCCAAAATTTGTGCACTGGGTCACCACCAGGGCATGATTTGATATACATACTAGATAGGAGAGCCAGTGCTGCTCAGTACTGTCTGTCACTCTCCCCAGAGCATATTACAAACCTGTGTCACCTCCAGTAAGCCTCCCACAGCCCCACAGCCACAGTCCAGGTGCAGATCTGAGTCTGTTGCATTCCACTTCCCCTCAGGGTCTTCCTCTTGGCCCACTGGTTTTCCTTCTCATATGTAAAGAACAGGAGTCAAATGGCACACAATACCCCCTTTAGCAATGCTGGAAGCTAAAATCAAGCCATGCAAGTGCCAATAATCTGTGCCCAGTCAAGTGGGAGAGTACAGACTTTTCAGACAGTGTTCTTCAGAGAATTACCTCACACAATGGTGGAGACTGAGAAATACCAAGATCTGCGGTTGGTAAGTGGAGATCCAGAAGAGCCAGTGTCTAGTTATAGTTCAAGTGTGAGGGCTGAGAACCTGCAGAGTCAAAACTCTAGTGTGAAAGATGGCAAATTCAAGGACCAAGAAAAAACAAAAAAGTTTCAGTTCATGAAAGACTATGTTTCAGCTTGGTCAGCAGGAGAGGTTCTTCCTCTGCCTGTTTGTTCCATTCAGGTCTTCAGTTGATTGGTGAGGCCCACTCACATTAGGGGAAACAATCCATCTTACTCAATCTCCTGATTAAATTGTTAATCTAATCCAGAAACCCCCTCAAAGTCACTCCTAGAATAATGTTTGGCCAGATGTCTGGGCACCCCATGGCCCAATCCAGTTGATACATAAAATTAATCATCACATGGTTCCCAAAGAGGTACTCACCAGATACCTTTTCTTAATAAGAGCACTAAAGAAGTCAGGTGTGTGTAATTCCAGCTACTTAGAGGGCTGAGGCAGGAAGATTGATGGGTTCAACCCCAGCCTGGGCAACACAGCAAGACCCCATCAGAAGAAGGAAGAGTAGGAGGAAAAGGAGGAGGAGAAGGAGGAAAAGGAGGAGGAGAAGGAGGAAAAGGAGGAGGAGAAGGAGGAAAAGGAGGAGAAGGAGGAGGAAAAAGAGGAGGAGAAGGAGGAAAATCTACTTCCCAATCTACTACCAGTGGTAGCTCCAGCATTATTCTCAGTAGCTTAGCCCCCAAATGTCCACATTTCCAAATGGGCCGCCAATGGCCCTACTCTACAGACTCATTGAATGTGCCAGTTATTTATCCATTGCCTCTTGATTTGGCTTCCTGCTCTCCTCAATATGGCAGGAGACTGGAAGACTGCAAACTACATTTCCAGGACTCCCTGGCTAGCTGACTTCTGGCTAGATTCTGAGAGATCAGAAGTCTGGTTGGGACGTAGGACAATTCTTGCTTCTGGTGGCACCTTCAGTGATGGCTGGTGAGTGTGGGCTTCTAGGTTCTTGCTTCATTTTCACATTTCCAACCATGCTGCCGCCGCTCCCAACATACAGCAATTACTTGAATAGCTCTGTGACTCCCTACAGTATCACTTTTCCTCTTTGCTCCTCTTGTCCTAGGGATACTAATTTCCAGTATTCTCATCTTCCCCTTGGTAGTACTGCAACCCTTTTAACATATTTTTAGCCATCTGTGTTCAGTGTTCTGTGTAATTACTTAAGAGTTCTTCTGTTTTCCTGGCTGGACTTTTCTAGGCTCAGCCAGACTGAGGTTCCACTACCTGGTGGCTCCAGGTAGAAGATTCCAACAAACCTGCTATTACTTTAGACACCAGTTGCAAGTGCCGAGTCCACTCTTAACCATCTGGCTGCATATTTGGAAGTTCCCATGACCAGCTCAGGTTTAATAATTCACTAGAGCAACACACAGAACTCAGAAAAGCACAATGTTATGATCATAGTTTTACTTTAAAGAATATAAACCAGTACCAGCCATGGTCTATGAGGTGACCTATAAGGCAAGGCCTGGAAGGGACCTGAATATAGTGCTTCCATATTCTCACCCTCTGGCACATTGCTGTTGACCACCAGCCAGGAATCTTGACCTCCAGAATTTTGTTTTGTTTTGTTTTTTTGTGTGGGTGGGAGGTTTCATTACCTAGGCATATGCATTGAATCATTGGCCACATGATTAAAGTAAAATGTCAGTCCCAATTTCTCACCAGGGGTCACGTTGATATCACATAGCTCAACACCTCAACCTCTAACATGAAAGACAGAGTGTCTTTCTGGTGTGATTGGCCCCCATCCCAAAGTTCCTAAAGGCCTGCCAGGGGTCGCCTCTTTGGCATAAAGCTCATCCCCAAGAACAGAGGGTAACGACAAACAAATTCTTTATTATACAACAACAGGAGGAGAGGGAAAGTGTGCCCATGGATATGTGGTTTAGATTTGTCTTCAGCTTCTAATGGATACTGTCTAAGATGGAAAAATCAAGTAATAACATTATAAGCATGTTATTTAAAAACATGGCAAAAGTACAGGAAAAATGGGAATGGAAGCAGAAGGGAGGAGAGGTTTGTGTTGCTGTTGCTAAAAGCCTTATAGAATTGTTGGACTTATTCAACTGGGTATGTATATCACCTTTGATAAAAAGTAAAGAAACAAAAAAGAAGAAAAATGTGGCTGTTGGATCAGGTGCTCAGGAATGGACAGGAGAAATACTCACAGAGAGAAAACGGTTGTTGCTTCCTTCTGACCCCCTTACTGCATGTTATAATTATGCAGAGGTGAACATGAACCTACAGAAGGACGCACAGTCCACAGAGAAGGGGTAGACCAACCAAGAGGAGGAGAGAACCAGGTGTTTTTCTTTCAGCAGCTCAGTAGAAGGTCAGTGTGGCCTAGAGGAACTCTGGACAGGAGAAGATGAGGGATTTAGACATGGAGGTTACAGGGAGGTGTCTGGGTGGAGTGATGGGGCAGAGGAGAAGGAGGAATGGTCAGAGAAGAGATAGGTGGGGTTTCATGATTGAAGATGGGAGAGCCCTGACGATGTGTAAATGCTATTGGAAAGAATCCAGCAGAGGGAGAGGCTTAAAGATAGGAGGAGTGAGGTGGTCCTGGGGAATCTGCAGTCTCCTAGGCAGAGGAGGAAGCAGATAGCTCTGCCTTCCCTCACCCTGGGCCCTCCCAGGGGAGGGAAGTGTGTAACCACCCTTTATCCACATCCTCCTTGTTGACTCACTTGTGCTTGCACCTCTGGCTGACAGGTATTACCCTGTCTCAAATTATTTAGTTGCACGAGGTCCCCATAAGCCCAGGTTATTGTGCCTTGGAAGCCAGGTTCTTATTGCTGCACTTGTTCCCCCAATGAATCCAATGTGAGCCTCTGTCCTCTGGAGCTGTGAGCACAAGGTTTTCAGGCAAGAGCCACTGGACAAACCCCAAACTCCCATGCCTGTGGGTACTGGGAAGAATCCACATGTGCAATAGTGTTGTAAGTAGGGAGCCAGGAAGGTAGGCAGGACTATGACTCCAAGACAGCCCTTGACTCTCTCCAGTGAGGCATTCCCACTCCACTCCAGGAAAGGCTTTCGGTTACCAGCTCTTTGGGTTTTTCTAGAGATGTGAGCGGCACAATCTTCAAGTGAATTCTCTAGATTGGAGAGATCTGTGTTCTGAGGACAGGAAAATAAAGTGAGGGGATATGGAGATGATCAGGTCAGGACTCCCTGTGAGGAGACCCAAAACCCACAGAGGAAGCAGCCTGGCATGACAGGAAAGAAAAAGAAGCCACAAAGATCATGACCCAACACAGTTGGGGAGAAGGGTCTGGAGGAGGGCAGAGGGTGGGAGAGGTAGGAGGGCCTGACCACAGGGATCTTGTGATTAGAGAAAGGGAGCAAAGACACAGAGAAGGATGAGCCAGCTCTGCCAGTTCAAAGGGTGGTCCTGATGGTCCATTGGGTCCATTTGTATTACAGCTGTTTATCTGCCTGCCTGTCCTAGCCAAATCAGGGTCCAGGAGAAGGGGTCCAAAGTGTGAACCTGGTCTGCCTCTCTGGGGACCTACCAGGGCCAGGATGGGACCTCCTCATTAACTGAGTTCTTCTAATTAAGTGTTAATTAGCCATGATTTGTACCCTTGCCAGGGGTGTCCTGAGGCCATGCCTGCCCTTCAGTGGGTAGCAGGGGCCTGGCTGGGAGCCCCCTTTCCCCGCATCCATGCAGCGACAGTGTCCAACGTTGGAGCGCGGATACGCGCACCAGGGATGCTGCACAGCGCGCGCTGCGCTCGGCACCAGGCGGCCCGGGACGCACACAGGGCCGCGCATCTTATCCCCCCCGCCCGGGTGAGTGGCCGGGCCGGGAAGGGTTAAGCCCACCGAGCTGGTGGCGGCCTAGAGCGGCGGCGGCAGCGGCGGCGGCGGCTGCGGGGGCCGGGGCGCGGGGGCGCAGCGGGCGGCAGGGGCGGGGGACAGGATGCGGATGCCGGGGGGACTTCCTGTGCCGGCCCCCGCGCCCCCGCCCCGGCCCGGCCAGCTGCCCGCACGGACGCACGCACTGGCGGGCGGGCGAGCGAACGGGGACCCGGCCCGGCCGTGGCGCCCGCCCCCCGCCCCGGCCAGCGCGGCCCGGTCCAGGCCGCCCTCGGGCTCTGGGCACCTGTGGCCAGCGGCCGTCCAGGACCTGTGTTGCCCGTCTCCAGCCAACCCAAGACCCCGCCATCCTGCAGCGCCAACCTAGGGCTTTGGCCCCGGCCCTGCTGCGCGCGATGGTCCCGCAGGGCCAGCCTTGAGTCCCGCGCGGAATTCGGGGCTCTGCCTCCCGTCCTCGCCCCCGCCCGAGAGTCTCCACTAACTTCTGCCCGGGAACTCCACTCTGCCCCTTGTCTTGGCCCAGGGCGACCTGGGCATCTCTGACAGCGCAAACCCTGCCGAGTGCCCAGAAAGGCCCCGGGGTGGCAGGCGCCTCCCAGGCTCTTTCTGGATGGAGGCGCCTCCGGAAGGAGCCGGCTGAATGCTGTGGCCTTCACCTTGCAGCCTCTGCTGACCACACCTCCCCTAGTGCAGAGGCTGCAGCCAGCAGGAAATGCTGTACCAGGTGAGGCCCAGGGGAATTCACGCTGGGTGCCCAGACGCCCTTCTTAGGAGGGTTGGGCTGACTTTGACAGGCCAGAGGGAGCTGGAGGCAATCTGGGTGGGGAAGGGAGGCCTGGATGTGGGGCCACCTCTGCAAGGAGGCCACCTCTGAGGAGCACAGACAGGCAGGCCGCCCTGCCATGGCTTACAGTGCTCTGGACACCTGCCTTTCCAGAGAGCTGGTGAGCTCCCAGAGCAGTCTGTGACACTGGAGTCCCTGGAGACCAACAGGCCCATGTTTGAAGCGGTCAGGGAACGTGACTTAGATGGTCCAAGAGGACCCCTAATGCTTCTTCTGTGGCTCTAGCTCCCAGCCTTTGTGAGTGGCTAATCCCCACAGTTGTGTCTCAATTAGGAGCAGCCTGATCAGGTGAAGATGGAATCCTGTGAATAATAGTCAGAAGAAGCTGGCCTGCCAGCTGTTCTGCACAGCAACAGGGACCAGGAGCTGCAACCACCTCCTATCTGAACAGCTTCTTTCCTTCTTCTCAGCACAGCCGGCTCCCGGGGACCCCGGTGTGACCACCAGGATGGAGGTGGGGCCAGCCACAGAGACCTTTGTGTTGGAGCTGCGCTGTCTTGAGGATGGGGGTCCAGGGCCTGCTGCCCTCTCAGGTGAGTGCTGGAGGCAGAGGCCTCTAGCAGGGACCTTCTGACAGAGCCCCAGGTATGCTGGTACAGAGATGCCCCAGGTATGCCAGTGCAGGGATGCCCCAGGGCAGCCATCCCCCTGCACTGCTTCACACCTGCTAGCTTCCATGCCTTGAATAACAACTGCAGGTTTGTCCTGGAATTTTCTCGGACATCTCTATCAGGCTGCTCTCTTGTTATCGAGGGGTACCCTGGAAGTACTGATGGCCTCTGCCCTGACCCCCACATATATGCTGGCCTGAACCTGCTGCTCAGTTGCCCCAGCATCCCAGTGACTCCACTGTCCTGCTGTGTGTGGGGCCACCCTGCACCCTGCTCTGGTTCCCAAAAGGAGTTGAGGAGCAGAAAGCCATTCCTCCTCTGCAGCTTGTGCCTCAGATGCTCGCTCCCTTCCCTGAGGTTTCTCTCCTTGTCCCCTTCTCCTGACCTCTGCTTCCCTATGTTTTTCTCTACCTGATGCTCAGAGGCAAAAATGTGGCTTCACCAAATCTTCCAAGAGCTCTCCCTCTGGGACCCATCTGGGTGAGCCTTCTATGGTGGCCATACTCATGAGACTGTTTCCTGTTGGGTGCTTTAAGGAGCTGAGTAGGGCCTGGGGCAATGGGGACAAGTACACTAAACAGGGACTCTTCTGACTTATACATTGAACTGACAAAAAATCTTATGAGGTTATACATGTCAGGCAACATGTAACTACATATTTACTAAAGTGTCTCTATTAAAGGTGAAAAAAAATGCTGCCCTAGGAAGTCACAGTGGCTAAGTAGCTAAGCTAGAAAGGAGGAGAGTCACACAGAGGTGTGATCTGTGGCTTCCAGAGGAGGTGGGAGAAGGGGGTGTCTAAGAGACTTCAGTCCTGCTATAGGGACAGGTTTTCATGGCTGTCTTCATCCATCATCAGAGAACCCCCAATTGGTGTGAGTGTCTATAAAAAGGCTGTCATTGACCTATTATACTAAGCAAGGGTTGTTAGAAATATTTTTCTAAAAGGAATTATATGTATGCAAATATCCTCTGTTTTTATTAAATATAAAATATGTAAATATCCTATGTTTTTATTAAATCAGTATATTCCTGGAAAAGTGGCCAGAAAGTAAAATTTATTTATTTATTTAAGTTGTAGATGGATGATAAATAAATAAATAAATAAATAAAATTTATTTTTATGTGGTGCTGAGGATTGAACCCAGGGCCTCACGCATGCAAGGCAAGGGCTCTGCCACTGAGCTACAACCCCAGCCCTCAGAAAGTAAAATTTTATCAATCAAACCATTGCTTTCCATTTCATGATTGAAAATATGATGCTGTAGGAAGAACACGTGTTGAAATCTGTCTGAGGTGGAGAAAGCTCCTTGACTCACACTTATAAAGAAGAATTAGGATTTTCTGATAGCACAACAGTAATATTCAGAACGAGAAGCTGAATGTGGACATTGTGCTGAAGGCAGAACATAGCCAGTGTGGCTCCTGTGTGTGCAAGATTTCCTCTGCGCCTCGCACAACACTGGGGCTCTACATTTATCCCAGTTCTCACTGTGTTTCTGAGGGTATATCTCTTTTTGCAAAAGGAGAAACTGAGGTTCCCAGCAGTTAATTAATTGGCCAGCCTCTGTGTTGACTTGGGGCTCTTAGTTCTTTCCATTCCTTTCTATTTGGTCTTTAGGTGCTTCAAATGGAGCTAGTTGTATCCTGAGTATTTCCGAACTGTTGTTACTTCATAGACTAATTCCTAACCTGTCGGGAGAGGTAATTTTCAAGCACCTGCCGGGTTCTGGGGAACATGCAGAGCCTTTGAGTCTGTAGGAAGTTGAACAGTTGAACTGAAAGAATTAGGTTCTCAAATGAGGACTTCCCACCTGAAACCTGATAGTCTCTCTGATACTTTGGTGATTTCTAGAAACTACTTGTGGTAGTCCTTCTAGGCAGCTTTACAGAAATGTTTTATTATTTGCAGAGAAGGCAAGTTTCATTTATTTAAGATGTGACCATCACTGAGGTCAGAGTTGAGCATGAGCTGGGCTGTTGGAATGGCTGCTGGGATTTCCACTGGACAGTGAAGTGCAAGGGACTCCTGAGGGAATGATGTTGGGAGCCCCAGGCACCCATGCTAATATTGGTGCCAAGATCTAACCATGGAGCTTGTGTGAAGGGAGGCCCAGAGGAGGGGTGGGGGTGGGGTCTAGAGTATAGTGACCAATGGTCACTTGGACATCCCCCACCCCTGGCATTTCAGTTTCTGTCATGCTGCTATTATCAATTGATCTAACATTTTTGGGTCCCTGCTGAGAACTTGTTAGTGTGTCCTTGAGTGACTGTATATGGGCAGGTCCTAGAGGGCTAGACTAGAGAGCTTCCTATAGATCCTTCTCTCCTAGCTTCCTGCCATTTCCACTACAGGTGGCAGCGGTGGGAGTGAGAGTCAGGAGGAGGAAGAGGCTCAGGAGGGGCGCAGTGGCCCACAACAGCCATCAGTGTTAGCCCCAATAGGGGCCAGTAACATTGCTGAAGAAGCCCAGCCGGGACAACAAGAGCTGCTACTGCAACAGCTAGAGCAGCAGCCAGAGCTGCAAGAACAGCCCCAGCAGGAGCAGCCTCAACAGCAGCAACCACAGAAGCAACTATTAGAACATCAGCCAGAAATGCAACAGCAGCAGCAACAGAAGGATGGGCAACGGCATCTGCCTCAACTACAGCTGGAGCTACAGGAAAACCACCAATCTGTGCAACACCAAGAACTGAAACCACAAATGCAGGTAATACAACAACAGGGACAGGTACCAGAGCAAGTGCAAGAGCAACAGTTACAGCAGCAGGAACAGTTACAGCAGGAAGTGCAAAAGCAACAACTTTTGCAACAGCAGCAAGAACAGTTACAGCAACAAGTACAAGAACAGCAGCTGTTACAACAGCAACAGGCACTGTTACAGGAACAGAACGTGCAAGAGCAACTATTGTTACAGCAGCAACAGGCACAGTTACAGCAGCAAGTACAAGAGCAACAGCTCTTACAGCAGCAACAGGAACAGTTACAGCAGCAAGTACAAGAGCAACAGCTCTTACAGCAGCAACAGGCACAGTTACAGCAACAGGCACAGTTACAGAAGCAAGTACAAGAGCAACAGCTCTTACAGCAACAACAGGCACAGTTACAGCAGCAAGTACAAGAGCAACAGCTCTTACAGCAGCAACAGGCACAGTTACAGCAGCAAGTACAAGAGCAACAGCTGTTACCGCAGCAACAGGAACAGTTACAGCAGCAAGTGCAAGAGCAACAGCTCTTACAGCAACAAAAGGAACAGTTACAGCAGCAAGTGCAAGAGCAACAGCTCTTGCAGCAGCAACAGGAACAGTTGCAGCAGCAAGTGCAAGAGCAACAGCTCTTGCAGCAGCAACAGGCACAGTTACAGCAGCAAGTGCAAGAGCAACAGCTGTTACAGCAGCAACAGGCACAGTTACAGCAGCAGCAAGTACAAGAGCAACAACAGTTACAGCAGCAGCAACTGCTACAACAGCAGCAACTGTTACAACAGCAGGAACAATTACAGCAGCAACAGTTCCAACAGCATCAGGAACAGCTACAGCAGCAGCAACTACTGTTGCTACAGCAGCAGGAACAGTTACAACAACAGTTGTTGCAGCACCAACAACAGGCACAGTTACAGCAGCAGCTCCTGCAGCAGCAGCAGGCACAGATACAGCAGCAGCTATTGCTGCAGCAGCAGGAGCAGTTACAGCAGCAGCAACAGCAACAGCTATTGCAACAGCATCAGGAACAGCTACAGCAGCAGCAGCCTCCTCCACTGGAGCCAGAGGAGGAGGAAGAGGTGGAACTGGAGCTCATGCCAGTGGACCTGGGGTCAGAGCAGGAGCTGGAGCAGCAGCGGCAGGAGCTAGAGCGGCAGCAGGAACTGGAGCGGCAGGAGGAGCAGCGGCAGCTGCAACTCAAACTGCAGGAGCAGTTGCAGCAGCTGGAGCAACAGTTGGAGCAGCAGCAGCTAGAGCAGGAGCAGCTGGAGCAGCAGGAGGTGCAGCTGGAGCTCACCCCCGTGGAGCTGGGCACCCAACAGCAGGAGGTGCAACTGGAGCTGACCCCTGTGCAGCCTGAACTGCAGCTGGAGCTGGTTCCCGCTGCAGGGAGCAGCGCGGCGACTGTCCCAGGGGCTCCAGCGGCTGTTGTGGTGGCCCCCCCAGGCTACGTGGTGCTGCAAGAGCTCATGGTGTTGCCCGCCGTGGCCACGTCAACAGTGGTGGCCATCCCGGGCCCAGCGGGCAGCGCCGCGCTCACTCCAGCACGGCAGCGGCGGCGACGGCGCGCACGGGACCGGCCGACCATCTGTGGAGAGTGCGGCAAGGGCTTCAGCCGCAGCACGGACCTAGTGAGGCACCAGGCCACGCACACCGGCGAGCGGCCGCACCGCTGTGGTGAGTGCGGCAAGGGCTTCTCGCAGCACTCCAACCTGGTGACACACCAGCGCATCCACACGGGCGAGAAGCCCTACGCCTGCTCGTATTGCTCCAAGCGCTTCAGCGAGAGCTCAGCTCTTGTGCAGCACCAGCGCACGCACACTGGCGAGAGGCCCTATGCCTGTGGCGACTGCGGCAAGCGCTTCAGTGTCTCCTCCAATCTGCTGCGTCACCGGCGCACACACTCGGGCGAGCGGCCCTATGTGTGCGAGGACTGTGGCGAGCGCTTCCGCCACAAGGTGCAGATTCGCCGCCACGAGCGCCAGCTGCATGGAGCTGGCCGCTCGCGTGGCCTTGGCTTGCTGCGGGCCTCGAGGCCGGCGCCGTCTACTGGCCCATCGCGCGCCCAGCAGGCCTCCGGGGCCACAGCATCCACCAACAAGGCTTCATGATGCGGGTGCGCATCTCTGCAACAGAAGGCAGAGGGCCAGGAGCAGGAAGGGGTCAGCCTTGAAGCACGGGGCATCCAGGGCGGGGAGGGTGCTCTTTCAAGCACCCTCCATATGAGTGGAGGGTGAGAAGCCCCACATGGAGTGGGATGGACACCTCGACCCCAGTTCGTGGTCATGACCCCAGTACAACGTCTCCCGGATCATCCTGGAATATCCTTGGGAACGAAAAGACTACCATCATCCCCCATACTCCCTGAGAAGTGCCAGGTTCAGAGATCCACCCCCAGAAATCATCCACAAGAGAACAGCCACTGTGGCTAAAACAGCACTTGGGGAAACCCATGAGCGAGAGGGCTGCCAAAAATTTTCCCCTGGGAAAATTGGACTTAGTAGAAACAAGAACCACCTGAGAACACTCCCCAGGACAATTGAGGATGTTTGACATGGACCAAACACTCACCAGGGAATAAAATAAATCCAGTGAGGCACACACGGAAAATAATGGATCCTGGTGAAAATTATTTAAAGGAGAAAAAAAAACAGGGAAAAAATAAACTTACCTGCACTATGTAGGAAACTGATCAAGGCATTGAGTTGTCCTCAGTGGCATTTGCCTTGAAAATACTTGCCAGTATGAAAATCTATTGGGCTGGATACAATTCTGATGAAAATACCTGTTTTCATAAACACAGGGTCACAGTGTCTATGGGGTCAATGTGCAAATAAGTGCCAGGAAGTCCTGCTCTGGGTGGAAGGTAAAACCTTTCCCCCCTGGGGAACCCAGAATTGGAGCAGGTGTTAGAGGCAGGTTCTAGGCCTCTGCTGCAATGTCTCAATCCACTGGAGGCCCTTTAATATTCCCTGGAATAGAGAAGCCTGTGTGCTGAAACAGAGCGCATTCTGGGAGGGCTCTCCAAGGTCTGGAAGAAGCCTCCCCAGGAAAGATCTCCAAGATAGCCCCACCCAGCCAAGCTGCTCAGATGCTGCCCAGAGGTTGACTCCTTGAGACCTGGGAGCAGAGATTTCTTGGATCAGGATAAGGGAGGGGCACCTGAACAGACCTTGCCTTCTGGCCCCAGGATGTGTGAAGAATGTTGGGGACAAAGATTAGGAGGAACAGAAAGGTTATTAACCATGTTTACCAAATCGTCCAGGGCAGGGGCTGTATGAGCAGTAGCAATTGCTGATTCCTCATGGGAAGGTGAGCTGGTGGAGGATGTCACTGGCCACCTCTGGGCTTGAGGCTCTTCCTGGCCAACCTGACTTCCCACGTGGCTGCTTAGTTCCTGCCCCTCTCTCCCCTCCCTGCTTCTCCTTTACTAACACAGCCTGCCACATTTTACACATGTGTTGGTAAGTGAGAAACAAAACATAAAAAATAAAGTGAAGAAACACAGTGTCCTGTCTTTGTGATTTCACCTCTGGATTTTGTGTCTCCCCTCAGGTCTTCATTTCTAAGGAAAAACTGCCTGGGTATTCTAGAGCAGGAACTTAGTATTCATTCTCTTTGCCCAATACTCACCTCAGACCCTTCCTTCCACCTGTGTCCCTTGGCCAGAGAATGGGCCTATTCAGTAAAACCCTCATTGGAAGAGCCAATTTCAGCATTTTGTAAGGACAAGCTTTATATCGATTCAGTCCAGTTGCCGTGTGGAGTGCTGGGATGATGGTGAGAGCTCACTATTGGATGGCCACTTGGAGAGGGGTCATGAGACTGGGGGTCCCCTCTCAGTCCTGAGAGTCTTTAATTCTAAGACTTAACCAGTCAGATGCTCTCAGAGTTTTTGGTCATTCTTGTGTCTCACTGGCTCCCCGATTTCATCTCCAACAGTACACATCCTCAACTCTTTTTTTTGGAAGATGACCTTTGGGCTTCTGGAATCCCTTGATTCTATCTATGTAGGAAAGCTAGCTGTCCCTTTGAATTGCCTTCTCTTTGGGGGCCCTTAGCCCATTAAGATGGTATGGGGGGACAAGCCAAGCTCTTCTGCTTCTGGTCAGGATGGCAGGGAGGAGTGACTCACATGAAGTTTGCTGGCAGGATCTGATCAAAGGATACCATGTTGGGAAAATTGTTATTGCAAAGCCTGGAATTGGTAGGTTTTGCTGGGTACAGTTAATTCCATGATGGAGGGGAAATGAGAGGTTTGAGTCCACAGGTGTCATTTAAAGGCACATAAGGACATGAAGAAGGCCTCTATGCAATATTTAAAGAAACCCTATGTGCAAGGCCCTGGTTCAATCCCCATCTCCATAAAATAGAAAAAAATCCTCATTTCCTTCAGCTAATGGCAGGTTCCTAAAGACCAGACACAGGGCCTATTGCAAGAGGTTGCAGGAGCAGAGAAACTTCACAGAGGGCTGAACCAGACTCACATCAGGGCCCTGATATAGAAAGAGTGGGCTCCTTTGGCTTGGATTGATGAGACCTGGGTCATGTGTTTGAGGTCAGTGAGTCCTGCAATTCCCCCACCCAGTGGGCCTGCAGATGTGGCCATTTTCCTTTGCATTTGTGTCCCTTGCCTTGTCCGAAGACCTTGCAGAGGTCTCATTGAGGTAGATGCCTTTCAGGGTGATGCTTGCGTTTCTTAAGGCCTGCCCCACCACTCTTCCTGGTGATGAGACCTATAACGGGTTTCTAGCTCTAGTGTGGTCTGGCTTGGGGAGGACCAATTCTGTAAAGGGAGAGACAAAATTATTCACCAAGGGAGATGTAAGATCTGGCTGTTATATACCTGCAGGAACCAAGAAAGCATGCCCAAATGGATACTCCCCTCATGAAGGAGCAAAGGAATGTGCAGGGGAGAGGCACTGGCCTCACCAGGAAGCTCAGCAGGGGCTGTTTCCTGTAGATAGATCAGGACTGACACTGGAGGTGCAGTCATGGAGCTGGACTCCCTCATGTCAGTGGGTATAGCAGAATCTTGGGCTAGCAGGGGGCCAGCTGTAGTGCTTAACCACCAAGGGAAAGATGGACATGACTAATGAAGTAGGAAGTAAGGTTGGAATGGCAACCAGAAGGCTCAGATGTAACGGAGGTGTCTATGGTGGTGAGTAGTGACCATGGTGTTCCCAGGGAGTGGAGAAATGATCAGTCAACTAGGGTATTGATATATATATATATATCCCACAAAAAAAAGTCAAGTGGTGCCCTTGAAGGCCACTGTTAGTTTCCCTAAAGGAAAGTCATGATCTCTGATCTCTTTCCCAGTTTCTAGATCTGAGCCAGTTTCTTAGATCCAGAGAAGCCAGGGCCTTAAGGAAGGACTTTATGATTCCACTGCATTTGGTGTATATGGACAGCAATGATTTTCTCAGCCCTCTTCCAAATGGACCTAGAGCCACTTACCCAAGTAAAATTCACCAAGGGGATGGGACACCCAGATCTTTCCACCAGGGGCCCTGACCTCATCAGGGTGACGATCTGAGTCACCCCCTCAGACCAGTCCCCTAAACCCAGTAGAAGTGCCAAAGGCAGAGCATCTAGAACAAAGTTATTGGGCAGATGAGGAGTATCAGTTATGGCCTCAGGGCCATCTACAGCTTCGGCAGGGACTAGGGCATACAGACTGCCCCTTCTTTGATATGTGTTCCTCATGTGGAGTGGAATCGACATGAGATTGAGTGGTTGTATATGAGGCAAACAGTGGTCTGGAGCCAACATTGATTGTCAGCCCACATCTTTTTGGATGGACCCTCTGGATGGATCTGTGGGTTCCCCCTACCCCTGGCCTGACTTCAGGGAGCTCAGCTCCCAGCAGCCAACACCTGAAGCTCTTCCCCTCATGCAGCACCAGAAGTGCCTGAGAGTCGATCTCCCCGCAGTAGGCCTGAACAAACTGGAGTGTGGACCTGGGAAAGCCAGCTACTTCGCCTGAGGTCGGGACCACATGAGGGTATTACTTCTGCTCTGGTACAAGATCAGGTTCCCTTGGCAAGACTGCCCGAGCCTCTCCCCCTTCCTACCCTGTGTCCCCTTCTCTTACTACCCTTCCCTGGCTGAGTTATCTTGATTAACTGCTTGCAGAAACGGTCTTCTTGGGTCTACTTTTGGAGAATGTGACTTAAAATGGGGTAGATGGGCAAAGTCTGGTCTTAGGAGAGAGAGGAAGAGCCTGGCTTGCTGCAGGTGAAAGACAGGCTGGCTCCAGGTATGGTGAGCATTCACTGAAGAGTCCCCAGTGGGAGAGAAAGACACAGACAAATAACCATGGGCATGGAGCAACTGATGGTTGTGGGGAGCCAGGGAGCCTCCTGGGAGAATCTAGACTGGCCAGAGGTGTTTGCAGGTGAGAACTTAGGGATTGGAGAGGAGATGGAAGTCACACATGTGCCGAGAGTCAGAGAAGGACCTGGAGTGGTTAGGGACAGTGTTTCTGGACAGCTGGAAGGTGGGCTCTGGGAGAGAGGGAACAGAATGAAGGGGCGAGCTAAGCAGGAGCTAGGTTTTGTGGTAGCACATGATTTTCAAGCCAAAGGGGTAGTGTTCAATCCTGTTGGTAATTCCTATATTTTTCTCATTTGCATATTATTTGTATTATATCCATCTTTGTGACTGCTGACTTAATTATTTTCCTTAAATGATTAATGCTGTTATTGGATGATTGATTGATTGATTGGGGGCAGGGATTGAACACAGGGGAACTTAACCACTCAGTTACATTCCCAGCCCTGTTTAATTTTTTATTGTGAGTCAGGGAGGGTCTTGCTAAAATGCTTAGGACCTTACTAAGTTGCTGAGGCTGGCTTTGAAGTCTTGATCCTCCTGCCTCAGCCTCCCAAGTTACTGGGATTACAGATGTGCAACACCATGCCTAGTGATATTGTTCTTAATAGATACGTTTAAAATAGAAACTGTTTCATTATAAAGGGAAGGCCACTGGGGTAGCCTAAGCCAACTATGTTTCCCAGAATTCCCTTTTAGAGTTCTAGTTAAGGTCAGCCACATTGGGGTGCTTGCTGTGGGCAAAGAGAATACAGACTAGTTGTGGAAAAATATA